GTCAGAAAGTGGTCCATCACCGTGTCATACACTAGGCGCTGCTCCGGATTGAGAGAATCGCGAGCTTCTAAGGGCTGATGCTCCACATCAAGTGGAAAGGAGCTTTCCTGCTTACGTCGCTTCCAGTAGTTACCGCGGAGAATGTCTTCGTTGGTATATCGTCCAACGTGGGGAGTCCAGTCATAATTCACGTCGATATCTCGGCGGCCAAGTACGTCGATGTCTTCTTCCTCCAGCGGCCGGTCTGGCAGCATGCGGGCGAGTTCATGCCAGTCCTCCTCTCGGCGGCCAAGTACGTCGATATCTTCTTCCTCCAGCGGCCGGTCTGGCAGCATGCGGGCGAGTTCATGCCAGTCCTCCTCTACAATGGGCTCGTCATGCACCTCCTGCTCAAACTCATCGTCCTCCGCTTGGAGCTCGCTTTTTCCCACCTCACCGTAATGGTCGTCCTCATGGAAATGGTGTCGCTGCCGGCAGCACTGGTACACTGCAACAAAGGACTCAAACCACTGCCCGTCCACAGCAAGCAACTCCTCCGGGGAGCGATGCGGATGGGCCATCATCAACTTGACACGGCAGAAGTCTTGAAACTGGGCTGAAGCTTCCACAGGTCTATAGCGAGGAAAGTAGGACAGAACCCTCTTTTTTGCGTTCGCACCGAGTCTCCTCCACGTCTTGGGATTGTACGACTGCAAATACTCGAGATAAGTAATACTCTCATGCTGGTCATTTCTCTGCAGATATTTCCGGTAGCTGCCGACAGCCTCACTAACATCATCATCGACACGGTACGACCGCACGTGCTGTTCCAGCGGGCGGCAGTCGACGTACACGACCATCCGAGTCCCTTCCTGCAGAGGGATGTTGAGCAGCAAGTGGGAAATCTCCTGCGCTGAATAATCCCTCTCGGCAATCAGCTTATTCATAAGACGAGAGGAGAAGGACAGTAGGGGTTGCAGGTGTGCGATGTGCGGCAAAACCTGGTCTGCAAGCTTACAGTAAGGCTCGGTCTTCTTCTCCGATTTGCTGCAATACTTGGCAGCATATGTAATGACTGCTTGTAAACTGGTGCATGGAGATATGTCAATGTTGGCTAGCCATCCCAGAATGATGGCAGGATTGAAGTGATTCATAAGGTTGTCGTTGCGGGCCGCCTCGAAGATGTAGTACGACTTGCCTTCCTTCCTGATGACCGCGGCTAGCTCCCGCAAGGCACGGGGAAAGTCAAATCGACACTCCCTTTCCGGATTCGCCACGTTAGCCGCCTCAATATCGGCGGCAGCCCCTTCCATGTCCCTCGCTAGGTCACCACTTCCTTTTCTGACACGCAAGCAGTACATGGTATTGCATCTGTGGCGCTGGCAGCGGTTGACAATTTGCGAGAGCCGCAGGAATGTCATCTCCACGCCCAGTGGATCTACGCTCAGCGGATTACCCTCACCTGAGGCACAGTCCTACGGGGCTCCGGGTTCAGGCCGTGATGTGGAAGCCCCACGTGCGTGCAAATATGTTAACCTGAGGCACAGTCCTACGGGGCTCCGGGTTCAGGCCGTGATGTGGAAGCCCCACGTGCGTGCAAATATGTTACGAGCAGCTTCGTCCTCCATGTCGACGGCCGGGCTCTCCTGCATCCCAGTACAGACCGTGGTTGTGCGACTACCACGCCCTTGCCATTCATACCGATCCCAGTAATCCGTGACGTTGAACTTCTTCCGCAACACGATATCTCGAAAGAAACAGTATCGGCGGTAGAAGTGGAAAGCAGCAATGTGGGGGTTCTGCCGCAAGAAGTACCGCGACAATGCCATCCTTTCCGGCTCGGACGCTCGCAGCCATTCTCCATATCGGGGCATGTGTTGGTAGGGACTCCGCCAGTGCAAATCGGCTGGGCTAAATGTGATTAATGCACCAGGACAGCCCAGGTTGTAGGCATACGCTTCGAGGTCCTGCCTCTTTCTGTGCCAAAATGGCCGTGTACCGCGAATCGACACGCATGCCTTGTGATCGATGATCAGCGCCTGCGCCTAGGGATCTTCGGAATGTTCGAGTGCCTGGATAAGCTGCTCTCGGGTGAGCGGTTCACGGCTGCATCATGCTGCTTCACGAAGAATTTCGACCGCGCACGTGCTTGGGACCGCATCAGGCTGTTGAATGCGACAAAACGGGAGGTCGGGTGCCGAGCAAAACGCCCGTTGTGCCACCGCATCGAGGGGCTGACCTAGCAAAATGACTCAATCGTATTCATGGCCTCGAGGAGCTTTTTATATGTGTTCGCCAGTATTCGCCAGACGAAGACATTTGGAGTTGCATAGCCCGCCACAAGCAGACTTTGAAACGCCTCAGCGTGCATTCCTGGATATGGTCCGACAATGACAAGCTGATATCGGACCGGATTTTT